AATGGAATAATTCAATTTCTTTATTTGGGGTAGTACCAACCTCTGGCAGTATTTACCCCCAAGGTGCGGGTAATGTCGTCCAAAACGACTTTTTGTTTTCTTGGTTACAACTTTTATTATGCTCGATTTTATGTATTCATTCGAAATGAAAATATATTTCGATATCTGAGCTTCCTACTTACAGTACATCAAAAAAGTTTGGACAAACAGTCTGAATTATAATTCTTGACAGTTATGTCATCTGCTGTTGACGGCGATTACGCGATCATGACATACCTATACTGGCGAAATAAACGAAAACTGTGCGATGTGCTTACAGTGCGTTAACAGCTACTTACTGAGTCTGCATCTCATCTGTTCTTGCCAACTTTCTATAGGGGCCGTAGGTCATTATAGAAAAAAAGTCGAAAACAAGCTTATACACGTTGATAGTCTTTTTCAGATGCGCATTTTTACGTTTGTGGAGTAAAAGTCCTGAATGTTTTATTCGTATCAACTGGGATACATTTCAACTGTTAAACGGTATTAAATGACGAGACAGCTGCCATAATATATCAAATTATATTAGGTACGATTATTGGAGGCGTATATACTATAAAGATCTAATATATCCCAGTCTAACCAAATCAATTTGTTCCAACTACTTTTTTATTACATTCGCGATAAAGCGTGAGTAGCACTTATAATCCAGTCAATAGGGTGCAGAAAAACCCGAAATTGTCAGAAAAAATCCGGGTAGAAGTGTAGTCGTAGTCCCAAAGTATCTTGTTTAAAATATTCTTTGAATTGTCTAAAAATATAAATCGCAGCTTATCATCCAACCACTTATCGAGAAATTCAATAAACTATAGTCAACAATAATAAATGGAACTTGACACTGCATGATTTTCAAGATATTTGCTTTCAATTTGAAGCTTGGTTACTCTAGACAACTTCTTGATCTCAGAATGTCAACCAATTTCTCTTCAGTTGCTGGACGATTATTTCATTTCATTTTTGATTCGAAAATATCAGAATATAGGTACTCAGAATACTGCGACTCAATAGGTTTTTCGTCGATTTCTGGCGGAGCTTCATAGTATCTTCGAAGCACTGAAAACGAATAATTATGGTTGTAATTCTTAGAAAGTCAACTTTCATGGAGTACCTGGAGTTCCAACTTTGATTTTTTTTATGTCGATTAAAAAATTCTGGAACCGTTTCGAGATCACGTAGTGAGCTCCATTTTCCTCGCCATTTTCACGCAATTTTAAATAATCATATTCATTTTATTCCCGACCAATTTGAATGAAAAATGGAATATTTTGATTTACAGTTATTGCGTAACTATTTTTGAAACTAGCAATATGAATATACCAAGATTATTATCATTGAATAATATCGAATAGGTACGATACAATCGGCAGACCTTCCAAATTGAAATTCATTCAATTTGAGTCAATTATACAAATGTACAATCCCGGTCAATCAATGAAGTAATCGAGAATATTATATTCTTCCACAAAATTGAACAGAAATTGAATGTAATGTTTTTCGGAAGTTGAAAAGTTACAGATTAGATCGAAAGTGTATGCGTTTCAATTTGATAGTTGAGCAATTTATTCATGGAAGCCAAAAAATCTCATCTCATAATTATCTGAATGACTTGGGTACATAGGTACTTATTTTCTATTGCTTTTTCGCTTGAAAAACAATCGAAATACGATGATTCATTCTAGGCAGATTCATACGCGGTCATGACAGTAAATCGGTTTCAAATTATCTCCTGAACACTCATTCCATGATTCATTATACCAAACCAATAGTACCAATCCTTTGGAACGATTAAAAAAAATTGTTTGCACTGAAGCGTTCCATGAGTTCAGTCCATTGTATATGTCCATGGGCGCCTAATATATATTTTTTTAAGGGTGCAACATGATGATTTATAATTCACTATTATCCCCAATATCTAGATAAATAGTTTCATGGTTATTCTTTTTTTTTTCTCTTTCCATTTATCAATCTGTCTATATATCTGTCTATCTATATCTGAGCTAATATTGGATGAGCTGATCTTGAAATAAGTGTAGTATATTGAACCGTCAATATTATACAGTCAAGGAAATTTTCTCTAAAAAATATGTTGTCTTTTGAAAGATTTAGTACAAATGGTAAAAATCTACTACGCCACTTCTGAACAATAAAGAGTGCTATTCGATATAATATCTTGTGTTTTTCCGGAGTTACAACTATACCTCTATGTACTTATTTTAATGTCATGTAGGTATTACAGCGAGGATAAACGATGTCAATTGCTTTCATTGCCTACTAGTACGAGCTGGAATTAATTTTTCATGTTCAAATATTCAAAATGTAGCAATTCCTAAGGGATTGTATAACTTCCCATCCGGGCCTATCCTCCCTATAGACGACTTCCATGGGTATATCCATGACATCCTGACTATCACTCTTTATTCATATGTAAAAATGTTAACTGCAATATGTCCGGTTGGTTGGTTTGATATATTTGGATCAGGATATCAGAAATTTGAGGAATTGATGTTAAGAGCTCTGACTCATACAGAAATAATCAGTCCGTCTAGATTCCTTTGGAATTTGTAGAAATGGAGATAGCTTCTAAAAATATATTAGAAAGTAGAAAGATCAATTTACGTATCTGATTGATGTCTATAATGCATGTTGAGTAATAGGTAAATAAGTGCATCCTACCTGGGCCATTAATATCTAGACCCCATTAAAGTAAAAACGAAAAATTATACGTTTTTAACTTCGGCTCGCTGAGAGTTTTAAGATAGACATAGGCATAGACAGAACATGCGACTAGAACTAAAACTGGATGTTTCCTTTATGAAATACCTAAACAGGGTGTTTCAGAAATTATAGCGATAAATACAATGGGGGTACTTATGTTCTCTTCAGGGAATATGTCGCACACAGCTTCCTGAATCACCATTGCAATGAGACCGCTTTCACCGTTCAACCGTGACTTGTTCTTTGAAGACGAGTGTATATTAATGTTTGGAAGTTGTGGTTGTCTCGGTAGTTGCGGAAGGAACTCGGGAAGGAGTAGGTACAAGGCTACAAGGGCGTCGCCAGCGGAAAAAATAGGGGGGGGGGGCACCATAAAAAAACTGGAGAGAAATATCAAATAGAAAGAGTTTAATGGGAAAATCAAAAACAGAAAAAAATCTATACAGTAAATCAGTTGAAAAATAATCTTCTAGGGTTCTTTGGGAATTCGTTGGTCACTTTTTGATGAAATCGTTCAAGTTTTTGAAAATATGTTGCCTGTGTATACTCATCATTGCGAGGCCATTGAGTCGAGCATCATACATGGTGCTCCTCAACCAGGTTTTGATTCTCCTAAGGCTACTAAATGACCTTCCAACTGAACAAATCTTACAAGGTACAAGGATCTTCAGAGCCTTCTCAACTTCAGGAGAAAAATATACTTTCGGAAGTTCTTTGCTCAAAGTGAGCGTTATCATAAGTAATATCACGATATTCTTAATATTCGAGATAATTCTGTCGTCTCATTGTTCACGAAATTGTGTTGCTGAGCAACACCACGAGTCAGGACGAAAGGTAGGGCTGTACGGCAACACAATAGATTTGACAAGGAAATGAAGAATTATGAGAATATATTCAGAACAGAGTGGAGACTATTTCACGTTCACGAAGCAAAGAAGCATTTATTTTGAATAAATGATTCATTCTGACAAGTACAGTCATTATTTTTTGCCATATTGACAGACTTCGCTTCGCTACCCATGGTTACATCGTTGAAAACATCTAGTTTTCGCGATAAGCACACGTTTTCTCTGGCTTGTGATTGGTCAGATTATGTGATGAATGAAATAGTCGTTTCAATGATAGCAGGGTGACTGGTGAGCGTTAAACCAAGGGGGGGGGGGCAGCTGCCCCACCCTGCCCCTCTCTGGCGACGCCCTTGAGTAGGTAGTGTAGTAATGCGTTGTTGTGAAATTGTTCAAATATGATATAATTCTATATAGGGTGATTCCAAGTGATTCCAATGGAATGGCACATAGCCAATAAAGGATGTGTATAGAGGCAATCAAGACGATAGTAGAGGTTCAATCGGTCGATTTTGAAGGTTCGCGGGATTTGGATGATTGAATGTAGCGACTTATCACATCTCGGAGAGGGGTCCCTGGACAATATGAATCCACTTGTTGGACATCTCAGATATGCGTCATTCGCCCCCTGCACCCCCTTCAAGGGTGAAATTTTCAAACGCCAATATCTGCGTTATTAATGAAGTTACAGAAGTGGAAAAAATATCAAAATACTTGGAAATAAATTGCCTATCAAAACTTATTCAATGGTTTGAAGTGATTTCTGTATATTTACAGAGATATTTTGAGAGAATCGTGAAAAAATATGTTTGACATCTCATTTATTTCAAATAACTCGAAAATTAAAGAATTCTCAGCAAAAATACACCTATAAATAATGATTCATCATACTTTCAGCTATAATTCGATATATATATATATTGACATTCGTATATCGGATCAAATGAAAAAACATAGTTTTAATTGAGATTGGTACACCTAAGGAGCAGTTCTTCAACTTGAAATTATAAACATTGATGGTTGGAACGACAGTCTTGTCAGAACATGAATTCAATCGGATGATTCATAGTTGGTATATCAGACTATTTCGAAATATAATGAATTTTCATAATTATTCAATTATTTTTATTGATGATTTATATTATTATGATTAATATTTCATCATCAACTTTTGTTCAACCTCAAAGGATGATTCAAGGTGAATTTCAAATCATTAATAAATCTTAAACTCATATTGCATGTTAATTGTTCATCCCTATTTCATGTCCTAACTTGTCAGGACTTCGAGTCGAGGTGTGCGAGCGCGCAAGATGTTTGAACCTGTTAGTTCGAATCATTCAGTCTGAAAGGTTTTACCAGAACGGTCGTGTTTATTGAACATTCATAGAGAATCGCTAAAAAATGACTTCGTTTCTTGAAATTAACTACTCTTTGTGCTTCATTTGTCAGCAGGATACTGAAGAGAAATTGGTTGAAAATCCTACTGGATATGGGAAATTATTTGAGTGCATGAAATCAAGGAATGAGTTCAGAGACCCTGCTCATATACACTTGAAACATATAATGACTACAATTACTGCACAAAATTTGGAAGATAACTCGGCAACTTGGCATGGAACGTGTTACAGTAAAATTACCCATAAAAAAGAAATGACACGAATACAAAAACTGTTATCCACTGAATCAAGCTCCAGCAGGGAAACCAACATCATATTGAGATCAAAAATCTCTAATAGAGATAAAAATGCTTGTTTCTTTTGTGAAAAGTATGCTACCAAGAAATCGATATTATCTACTGTTATGACCGATGATGCTGGCAAAAGAATGCGTGATGCAGTTCTCTTAGAAAATAACGAAGGACTCAAAATAAAATTGTCGGAATTCATTTCTGAGAATGATGCACACGCTTATGATATTAAATATTATTCATCGTGCTGGATAACAAATGTTGTAAATATTCTTAGAGAACAGGAAAATAAATCTTGTCATGAATTTCATAATAAATTAGTTGCCTCAGAAGTAGAGTTGCTCAGTAGATTGAGAATTACTTTATTTTCTGGATCAATAACCAATATGGAGGAAGTAGAAAATCTTTATAACGAAATTTGCACAAGCAATGACCTACCTGAACAAATCAGAAAAACCAGAAAATATCTGAAAACAGCATGTAATACAAGGATGTGCAAATGCCTTATGAATAAATTGAAATGCACTGAGATGTGCGAATGCGAATCGGCATCTGACACTTGTACTAATAATCTAATGTTCTCGGATGAAGACATAGATGATGATTCCAGCAGCGAAAATGAGTAGTTAATTTTTTTTATGCATGTTCTAATAACTTATATATTTCAAGTTTTTTGTTCCAACGACGAAAAGATTAAGAGTTTTCTTCGTAAACTTGTATTTTCTTGATTTACACCTTGAAATCCAGAGTACACATTGGTTCCTTTCAATAAAAAATAAAACATTCTCTTCGAATTATTTTTTCCGAAAATGTAACCACTATGATATCTGCATGTCCTAGGGAAAATATATCATTTCAAATATTGACCTGTAGTGCACCACTGACATACCACTATAATTTAAAATCCATTTTCTCTATTGAGGTAATTCAGAAATATCGATATGAATATACCAAATTATAGCTGAAAGTATATTGAATCTTTTATTATTGAGGAAGTTTTATTGAAAATCCTCTATTTTTCGAGTTATAAGAAAAATTAAATGTAAAATATATGTTTTTTTTTTCATATTTTTCAAATATCTCAACAAATATAGAGAAATTGATAGAGACCATGGAGAAAGTTTTTGTGGGCAATTTATTTACAAGTATTTTGATTCTTTTTTCATCTTCGTAACATGATTATTAACGGAGATACAGGTATTTGAAAATTTCACCCTTGAAGGGGGTGCAGGGGGTGAATGACGCGTATCTGGGATGTCCAACAAGTGGATTCATGAATGTTAGGGACCCCTTTAAAATGTGTAATGGGTCGCTATATTCAATCATTAAAATGCCGCGAAAAACCGATTGAACCTCTACTACGAGTTGATGTAGGTAGGTCGAGGGGTAAATCACTGGCCAATTTCGGGTACACTAGACTTCCTTTGTCGAAAGAATTCCCGGAATTCCTGGTACTACCCAAGGAATTTCTGCAACTACTCAAAAAATCCCCCGACTTCCTAAAGAATTCCCGAAATTCCCGAAGACTACCTGGACTACCCAAGGAATTCCAGGACTTCCCAAGGAATTCCCGCACTTCCCAAGGAAATCCCGGACTCTCCAAGAAATTCTTGGACTTCACAAGGAATTCGCGGACTTCCCAAAGAATTCCCAGACATCTCAAAGAATTCCCAGACTTACCAATGAATTCCCAGACTTTCCAAAGAATTCTCGGACCTCCCAAAGAATACCCGGATTTCCCGAGGAATTCCCGTCTCGGGTACACTGGATTTCCCACGTGATTTACCCCTCGAGGTAGTTATATAGGATAGGAATGAGCCAAAATAATGTCTACCGCACTACGTTACGGAGTTATTGACCTTGAAAGTTTGAATAAAAAAAATAAATTGAACGGTTGTCATGGTATCAATGATAAATTAACTCATACTAATGCTCGCCTCTCGATATGTTTATGGCTGTTCAGTGATAGTAATAGTGATAGTGAGATAGTGATAGTAACCACAAACGGGCTACCAACATATTCTAAGAACGGCCCTGCTCATCAATAACCTTCATAGTACATAGTTGAAGTCTGGAAATTGTTTATAACGAGTTTCTTTTGAGTATTTCGGTCAAGGTTATAAATAATAATGGTACCTAGATTGCATATATTTATATTAGTTTCATTATTTTGCGTTCCTATCTACTGCATACTCTGCAATACGCATAATAAACTATGGTTATTTAGGTACTCGGTTGTACCGACAATTTGGATCAGAAAATTAGTAGAAAATTGGAGTGTTCAACATCATGAAGTTTCGGGAATTTTTTTAGGTAATTATTATAATTATATAGGTATATACAGTATGATGCAAATGTATGGAATAAATTCATTATTTCAGAAATGGGCGACATTTGAAGAAATTCCAAAAACACGTGAGTTTTAATTTTTGAAGCCTCATCTCATGACATTCATATGAGAGATGTTACGTCACTGGTGTAGAAGTAATGACGTAATGGACGATTTTTTCAAATACAAGCAGGGGTCATGTGACACCTCGTTTGGAAGGTCTACTGATCGTCTATCGAACAGTCAAAATTTTGCATAAGAATATTGCAATTAAAATGGATTATCATTTGGTTAACTGAGTCTTGCAGAGGTCTGCTACTGAGAATTGAACATCGAAGGGTCGTCTAGTTGAAAAAATACACAATAAAAAAAGTTCTGAACTCTAGTTTTTGGATTTTTTTCGGAAGTCGTCTTTTTTGAAATGAATTTATTCCATACATTTGCATCATACTGTACATATGTACAATATTAAACTGGTATGTAAAGCCGTTGACTTATTGACTATCATGGTATAGCTATGCACATTGCTCTATATACATAAGCAACGATTCGTCTGAAATTCCCTTCGAAAAATCTGCTTTCATGCCCATGTACTAATATTTCACAATACTACCGTGGAGTAGCTACTGACATCAAACAACAACTTTCATTAGCATGTACAGTCTCAGTCAGATGCAATGAACAATGAGCACCTGGACGGTGATAGCAATTCTTGTCACTTCTGCAGTAAGAGCGCTAACACCATCCAACCGCGACATGCTCTTTGCAACTGAGTGTACATAAATAATACACTGACAAATAACTCAGAAGTAGTTAAATTACAGGTATTTATTGAGCAGCACTCCAGCACTGCTCACCTCAACCAATCCTAGTTAATGTAAATTTCATGTTTTCAATGAAAACATATTCACTATTATATATTTTCTCTTGGCGTGTTTGTCAGTACAGTACAGTACAACATCAACTTTTTCTGAGTGAATGTGGGTAGGTATGTTGTGTAGACACTTTTCTGGAGATGATTAGGATAATAGACACTTGTTGAAGGAAATCGAAAAACTTACAGCTTGACCGTGCTAGCTTGGCCTCTGAGAATTGGATGCGCAGTAGACCAGTACAGTGCGATTGTACTTCCCCATAAGAAGGCGTAGTGGATCTTTGTGCATTGATCATTTATTTGTGGAACTTCTTTCATGACTCAATTTCCTGAAGTTCTCAGAACAGATCCATGAGATTGAGATTTCCAGAGTAGACGGAATGCTGATTTTTCAGTTCAATCGGCTTTTCCCGAGTGTTAAGATCATTATACATATTTTTTGGAGTACACGAGAGGAAATTCCTATGATATTCGAAAAACATCGTGCTTACTAGGGAGGATAGGAAGAGGAGGTAGGTGGTGGAATTCTTCTTCTAGAGGTTATTAGTTCTTGTCAAAGAATTTCAAAGCTCTGCCGTTGTATAGACGAACGAGTTTTGGTAAAGTGTTGTTCGACATATTTCAAGGTTCACAGCGAAAGGATGTGCTGATTGGGTCTGTCGAGTTCGTCTGTCTGGTATTGCTAGTGATGGAATGACAGCAGGCAGAAGGACAAAGTTCCGGAGAGCTCAAAGCCGCGAATAATTTTTTTTAATTTATGAACTGAAGCATAGTACCGAAATAAGCATATTTTGGAAAAGTAGAACTTTGAAAACGAGTGAAACAAATTGTGCTGAATTCGGATAAAAAGTTGCTCAACGGCAGCACTCTCTAGTCATAGTATTTACCCGCATTTCCTGAAATTGCTGCGTTGTATATTCTTTTCAATTTCCAGAAGGTCTCCGCAATGCAACGTTGTCAGAGATCGATTTCTTTCCAGATCTAGGACATGTTCGAAAAGCTACATTTCCATATTGTTTCAATTTCCAGAAGTTCTCCGAAATGCAACGTTGTCAGATCTATCGATTTTTCTCCAGATCTAGGTTATGTTATAAAATGCTGCGTTGTCATATCGTTCCAATTTCCAGAACTTCTCCGAAATGCACCGTTGCCAGATCTATCGATTTTTCTCCAGATCTCCTAACTTCTTCCTCCTTTTTTCAGAGGCGCAGTCTGCGGTCCCCCCGCAAGATGGACAGGCTGCGGCGCTCGTTCCGGGACTCCTTCCGCAGGCGGAAGGACAAAGTTCCGGAGAGTTCGAAACCTCACCAGTGGCAGGCCGACGAGTCGGCCGTCCGGTCTGGCACGTGCACGTTCTCGGTGAAGTATCTGGGGTGCGTGGAGGTGTTTGATTCGCGAGGAATGCAGGTGTGCGAGGAGGCTCTCAAAGTGTTGAGGGTAAGTAGCATGGTCCACACAGTCTTGCTCTTTTGATTCATATTCAAGTAATTTTAAAAAATGTATTTTTTCTGTGACAGGAAAAAGATTGACATTTCATCTCTGTTGACAAGTTATAAAATAAACTGCTAGATCTCATAACTAAGAGATCCAGGATGAACAGAGTTGCCTCAATTGTCAGCAGGAGCGAGACAGTACCGTTTCGATCCTCCAGGTCTCATCAGCCGCTCTCGGTCTGCTGACAACTGGGACAACTCTACGCTTCGGGTATATCACCCATTTCGAAGACGCAGGGTATAACATGAAGTTATAGTCATGTTGTAGCCATCTAGTCGCAAAGCTCTAAGGTAGGATACAGAGATCGTGACACACACTGTATGGCGCTGCCATCAATAGTCACACGTACAGACCCCTACGTCTATACGCTACAGAGTGGTACTACAAGTAAACCACTCTGCTGCTAATTATGATATTTAGCAGTTGAATAGGTGGTGGAAAAATTCCACTCAAGTATATGTCAGGTAGTGCCATCTGTTAGCAGAGTGGTTCACTTGTAGTATCACTCTGTAGCGTATAGACGTAGGGGTCTGTACGTGTATATAGATGGCAGCGCCATACAGTGTGTGTCGCGATCTCTGTATCCTACCTTAGAGCTTTGCCACTAGATGGCTACGACATGACTATAACTTCATGTTATACCCTGCGTCTTCGAAGTTATAAAATGTCACTTTTCATGAATTACTTTTTTCCCACGGATAATATTTCATTGATTTGAGGAAACCTATAGGTATATCAATTTTACAATTTCTTTAGTTTGAAGAAATACAGTATCGATTCGAAATTTTGTTATAAAATTGAAATTTCCTAAAATGAAATGAAAAAACTAGTATGACTTTCAAGCATAGGTCATCAGCGAGGTTATCAGTCTCTAGCTGATTTCGAATGATAACTTCTTCTCATTGTTGCAACCTGTATATGCTCGAATTTATCACAGCACATTACTGATTTTGAAATTAGAGCCTGAAACATTAACTATATCATTTTTCATTTAAATGACACATGAATATCGTTGTTTACCTACGACTCGTTTTAGGAATTCGTGGTACCAAATCAAATTAATATTCATCATCGCCTATATGAAATATCCCCAAATAGGGGTAGCGGCGGACGGTCTACCCCCACTCCTTGCCAATGCCACGGTCTACGCCCACCTGTGGAGTTTGCGATCACACATTGTTATATGTATTTTACGCAGTTTTCATTTTTTACGCTTTTATTGATACATGAATTTAATGAGCGAAGAAATGGAAATAATCAGAATAGGAAATCATAATACACAAACCATTTTCTTGACGAATACACATATGGTACGTTGAAAAAGCTTGGAAAAACAAGTAGATTTTAAACCAGTAGGAACAAATATATAGAAAAAAGTTTGAAAACCTGTAAACTGGCGTCACGTAAATTACTGAAACTTGACCACTTCCAAATAGATTGATTACCGAATACTCGGTCTTGTTCGACTTTCACAGAGATTTGATTGGAAGTAAGTCAAAGTGGGCGTGACCGACAAGAGTAAGGAGTGGGGATAGGCTTGACTGACTCTATCCCTACTTCTCGATGTAAATTAGATTTTTGTAGGGTTCAAGACGAAGGCCGGTCAGGGCAGTCCTTCACGTTAGTGGAGACGGTCTCAGGGTGGTCGAAGAAGACACGAAAGGGCTGATCGTGGATCAGACGATAGAGAAGGTGTCGTTCTGTGCACCCGACAGAAACCACGAGCGAGGTTTCAGCTACATATGCCGAGATGGCACCACCAGGAGGTGGATGTGCCACGGTTTCTTGGCGTTACGGGAAAGCGGAGAAAGACTTTCGCACGCGGTCGGCTGTGCGTTCGCTGTTTGTTTGGAGAGGTATGTTTACGATGGTTCTCGTAATAAGTCCGGAAAGAGCAGTTGATAAGGCATACCAAGTACAACATTGCTTAATCTTTTCATTACACATTTATGATGTGCTCGTGAATCTTGTTATCTCATTTTATCTGTTGTAATTCATTTTTTACTTTTTTCACAATCTCATCGATAAAAAATATTTACCTACTCTTGACTCTATAATTTCTCAAGTGCTTGAAATATTACCGGAATATTTTCGAGTAGACCATTTTCAGTAGGCAACACTGCATTTCCATGATCCGAAAGTACTACTCTTGACTGGTAGGTAGCATTGGTCCGCTAAAGTTAACCGCTCTAGCTAGCAAGATATTATGAGGTATTTTTTCAGACGTATGTACAGGGTGGGCCAAATTGGTCACTTTTAAAGGGGAAGTCCTATTTTCCAACTAGATAGAAGAAAACTGATGTGGGTGCCTGAGGGTCGATTTTCATGAAAAACTCATCGGTGGAAACCGCATCTCGATATCTGTCTTCGTTTCGGAGTTAGAAGGTGTTCTTCGAAAATGAGCATTTTTGAAAAGTGGCTACAAATATTTTGTTTTGGCAAAAATTGTATGTTCTTATTGAAATTACTGCAAAGCATTGAGTTTGTGAAAAAAATCATTCCTAAGGCACTGAAACCAGCCTTCCTTATAACTTGTTCTTCTTGAAGGAAAAGTTCTATTTTGAAACTAGGTATATGGTAACTGATTTCAGTGCCTGAAGATGAATTTTCATGACAAACACAATGCTTCGAGAATGATTTCTTTGGAAACGAAGCATTTTTGACGAAAAAATAGTTTCAGCCACTTTTCAAAAATTCATATTTTCGAAAAACACCTTGTAACTCTGAAACGAAGATATATATCGATATGCAGTCTTCACCATTGAGTTTGTCATGTAAATTGATCAACAGGCACCAACATCATATAAGTTATAAGTGTCTAATTTGGCCCATCCTGTACATCTGAAAAAAGACGTATTGAGGTTTTAAAACAATTATCAAATGAGCTAATTTTCTGTTCTCTGGTCTGCTCGCGGTGTAAACTGAGCTGTATCTGAATTTTTGCTAGAATTTTTTGAAGTTGTGACCATATACCTACTCAATTCCATATCACAAGAAATAATCCATTTTAAATAGTTCAATCCCATTTATTACCACTTAGTAAAACTTTGGACCTGACATTCATTCATTGTTACAATGTGGAAGTTATGTTGAATGCATCAGGATATAACACATCTGACTGGGAACCCAATTGATAACATTTATTTATTTATTCAGACATTGGCTTTTTGATTCCAATGTTTTCAGTTTTTGGTATACTCCCCAACTGACTGCTCGTTATTGAGAATGAGGTAGGATTCTTGAAAATCAGCTATTTTTTTTTTATTTTGAACAGTTGAAAATTTTTGATGTCTTTCATCGGAATTCGTTCCTAATAATGTAATACCTCTAGAGGGGTAACTTGCTGAATCTTGAGAAACTGAAGAAACTGCATTAACTAAAGGTATCCTATATATCTAATAATATCTGTTTCAACAAAATGAACAGCACTATACTGCAGATTATTGAGATGGGGTCCAATTTTTGGGAGAAATTGTAGATATCCACTTTTTCCGCAGTTCTTTATTTTTAGGAAATGTAAAAATCGAATCGTACTCTTCCGGAGCGTAATTGAACTCGCACCTTGTCACACAATGGTTCGGCATCTTCATGTAAGAAATGTTTATATCACTTCACTTCCAAAAATAACAAAACATACACATAACCTCAATTCAAAAACACCGGCGAGAATTTTTGAACAGTATTGCCAAAACTGTTTACCATGACTTTCTAATTAGAGAAGGCTGTGGTACTTTTGCATCCGAGGTTAGAATAATAGTAATATTCTTTCAATCTGAACTAACTGAAATATTTCACAAAATAACTGAACTGAATCGTTCTTTCGAATGACGTTCATTATGTACAATGCATGCCAACTGAATCAGTTCAGTTCAAGTGAAATCTGTCAGTTATTAGATAGATATATAGCGTTTATTTGACTACGTTATGCAAATAAATACATTTGTAGCAAGTCCATACATCAATACAATACAATAATGTGTGAATCTAATAAAAAAATTTGTAAATAAATTGTTATAAAAAAAGACATCAAAACACTAATATATAGATATAAAATACTATAACATATAGATGTAAAATAGGGCCAAGGCATAAAGAATACGGTTCATTCTACATTAAGATCAATTGCAGCAGATGGGCTAGTTATATACTCAATATCATTTAGTAACATTATTTGGCTAAAAGTTCATTTTTAATGTATCGTTTGAATTTCTGACCTCTAAGATTTTTCACTGTTTGTGGTAAGATATTATACAATTACATTATAGAAATGAGCATTTCTATCGAATTCATTTTTATTTTCATGGATTTCAAGAAGGCAATGGTAAATATATGAGGTAGGAAGGGGCATTATTCCTAAATTTTTGAATATGGGACGACATGTGTCTATATAATCTGCATTAGCAATTATCCTAACTGCTTTTTTTGAAGCTTGAAAACTATCAGAAGATGAGGAGTTTCCCCACAAAACAATACCATACCTAAGATGCGAATTGAAAAATGCGTAATATGCTGTCAAGAGAATCTTAGAACTTACTATAAATAGATCTCAACTGTCGAAGCAGAAATATATGCTTCGAAAGTTTGGAACATAAGTCATCAATATGATTGTGCCAGTTCAGGTTATCATCTATTGTGATTCCTAGTAAATTTACTTTATCACCTTTTTTAATTTTACTGTTGGATGAGAAGATCAAATTCTGAGTTTTGTCTCTGTTAAGTTTCAAGAGCTCAGAATGAAAGAATATCACTAATGATTGAAGCTGAAAAGTGTTACAATTTTCGTTACTATTATACAAGTGTTTGTCAAATTAACTATGTAAAGGAAATACACACAATATAGCGTTATTTTTTGTAGGAAACAAAAAAGAGACAAAGAATGCGGAGTAACGATGATGTTCGATGCGAAGAACAACACTTTCACTAGGACCGGTTCATTTAGGCAGCAGAGTTTGACAGAAAGGCTGGAAAAGGAGCGGGGAATCGACGTTGGACCTTCGAAACCCACTCCAGTCAATCCATTCGCCATCGAAAGGCCACACGCAACGCCCAGCATGTTGCAAAGGCAGGGAAGTTGCAGAGGGTGAGTTTCCAGAAATACCGGGTGTCCCAGATCTTTTCATACAGCCAATATCTACAAAATTACACTTTGTCAAAACCCAAATGATTATGAAGCTCTTGTGTCAAAAGATTTGAAATTCTCACTTGTGTAGGCCTCTACGTATTTGAAGTCTATATTTTTGTGTTCAAAAATAGGGATTTGTTTTTCATTAATAATGATTTCCACGAATACAACACACGTCGTAAGGATGATTTACGAATACCACTCTCTAAACGCGATATTTCATATAAAGCTCCAGCTAGAATCGGCGCAAAGATTTTCAAGAGCTTACCCTTCTCTCTCAAAAGCTTAAAACATGAACGCACCTTCAAGAAAAACCTCAAGGTATATCTGGTTGAGAAATGTTTATATAGTTTGAATGAATACTTTAAACTCCATATTTTAATTATTAAATGTAAATTGTATTTTTTTTATGTACTCTTAGTATCATAAAGATGAGTCAATATTTTGTCCATTTTGTATATTATGTACTTATTAGATTGTGTAAACATGTTACGTAGTTTTACGTGCTATGTTATTTTCTTATTATTAATTCATTTTATAAATACCAACCGTACTACCATGCGGTTCCATCCTGACTCTTTCTTATACAATTGTATGTTGTCTTAAAGAAATAGAGTGATTTGATTTGATTTTGATTTGATTTTGTATGGATGGCGTCCACGATCATCGACCCTGGAGATAAAATATTGAAACACAACCTCACTTTTCTGTGAAACATTGAAACACAACCTCACTTTTTTTATTTGTTTACAGAGGAATCAAAGGATTGAAATAGTTTTTTCCAATATCATGGCATACGAATCGATAACTGAGATATTGGCTGTATGAAAAAATCTGGTACACTCAACTCAATATGATACGTATTCTACAGTGTGTTCTAAAACAATGCTTAATAGGAAGTCGAGGTGAGATGATTAAGATGTGAAATAGTATAAATTACATCACTAGTGTGAGTAGGTAGTGTGGAGAGACATATTTCAAGCGAATTGAGGACATATAACGAGTGCAGGAAATGCCTATCCAACGAGTTTTTCTACAGTACTTTTCCTACGATCATAAATATAATTGAACTATGTGAATTATGGGTGTTTGTATGGAACCTCTGTAGACAATAATCATGTTTCAAATCATTTGATCATACAAAAGTGATATTAATGACAGGTTTGCATATACAGGGTGTCCCAGAACAACGTACATTAAATTCAACAGGGTGAACTAGAGTTCAAAATAGGTCGATTGGGACCAACTTATCTCTATACGAAATATTGAATATTTCAAAATCCTTGAGAGGTAGTGATCTGAAATTTGGAAGGCAGTCAACTATAAGAAGTGTGCATTGATAACAGGTCTCATTAGTGCAATCGATATACAGGGAGATACAAATTTAGCATTCTGCCACTGACCATATTTCAATATCTACTTGAATAACAAAATCAATTATCTATCTTTTTTCTCACCACATTTCTTTCTAAATTTTGCTTGATTTACGAGATATCTGAAAAAATTCTTTCGGAGTCCCTCCATATCATCCATTGTCCAAGATATTAGAGTTATTGTGTTCTGCAGGTTTCTTCCTCCTTCATGTTGATATTTTGGTCACGTATTCCTGTTAATTATTTAATAACCTTTTCATCATAAAGGATGGCCCATTTTCAACTTGACAGGGAAATTTTGGGTGATAATAGCATAGATACGAAAGAATGCTCAGATCGGTCGATTTTAGTTTGCACCTCCTGCTAACAATCAAAGTCGTGTTCATCAGATGAGTTCATCAAATTAATAATTGAAAAATAAACTGGATCTCAGAGACAATGAATAATTATAATAATAATAATAAATAATAATAGGAATAATAATAATTTTCTATTCATCTTTCTTCGAATCAAAATCACTACACAAATTCAACCCTGTTCCATATGGTAAATTGATAATCTGTAATTCCCCAGCTTCAGCGTCCTCGGCGAGAGCTCCCCCTTCAAGCGCCAGATGTCGCTGCGCGTCAACGAGCTGCCCAGCAACGCCGCCCGCCTCAACTCGTACCGGTCGCCCAGCTCGCCGCCCGCCGCCCAGCCGCCAGTCTCGCCCATCCCGGAGGCGCCCGTCTCGCCCGGCGACTCGGTCACCGCCCTCTGCCAGCAGCTGTCTCAAGGGCTGAGCCAGCTCACGAACAGCGGCTCGGACGATTTCAATTTCAACAACCAGAGCTCCGTGAACCAGAATACGGTCAATTTGAACGTGACGACGATCAACAACACAAGGTTGGTGAAGCTTAGAGTCACTGGACGGTATTATAAACTGGGCGTCAATTGAAACGTTAATAGTGAAATTTGGCATCAAGTTTGACTTCTCGTAATTTCTAAAATATCGAGCGAATTTTGAATTGCCGCCGAGATTCTGAATGCCTTTTTCATCGTCTTTCGAACCGTTGCTTACAGCTTCTTCTAAATTGATCAGGACCCGTGATACAGGGTGAAACAAAGTTTCGTGCATTTTGAAAAGAATTTCTCCGCCCCCCCATTTTGTCGGAAGACCACGATGCTCATATTTTATTCAGGCATTTCATAAATAGCAACCATACCTCGGGACGTTTTCGAGTTTTTGCCAAAAACTACTGTGAAGATGCAAGTCAATGTCAGTATTTTCTGAGCCACAAATAAGGGTTGATATGGTTCTCTGAATTTAGCTTTACTAAGGTATCTAACCGCCCTCTTTTGTAAAATGAACACAGAGTTCAAAAGAAATTGAGAACTATTCCCCCAAAAACAAACTCCATATCTCAAAATTGAGTCAATCAGGGCAAAATAAACTGATCTTGCTGCAGATATATTCAATTCAGATGAGATGACTCTTACTGCAAAACAACCAGAAGATAATTTTTTGCATAAATTTGTAATGTGGGTGTTGAATGAGAGACTGTCATCCACATAGAGCCCTAAAAACTTAGCCGAGGATTGAGTACAAATTCTTGAGTTTTCCAGAAGTATATCATTAAGAGTGCACTTGAACGTCAAAATACATGTTTTAGAAATATTGAATGATAATTTATTCGCATCACACCAATTTTTTACTTCCAATATATCTTCAGCGACATAGTTACTCAGTTCGTCATTATTGGTGCTATGCCACAGTATTGTGGTGTCATCTGCGAACATAGTAAACTTTCCTCTAATAGTGATATTTGCTAGGTCATCTTCTTCTTCTTCTTCTCTGCACAGGTGGGCGGGTGCGTAGACCCCTGCACTCAGGCCTCTTCAGTCGGGCCCATTGTGCGCCCACTTGTCCTGTGAATCAGCTGGGCATGCCGATTTCTTTGACGAAATTCAGCAGCTTCCTCAGCTGAGTCACTTTCACATCCTTTGGGTGCAGTACAATGCTCCCAAAGGCAGCTTTCCTCTGATGCACCAGCGCGGGGCATTCAGTAAGTATGTGTGATGATGTTTCATCATCCTCCAAGCACCATCTGCAGATGGGATCATCTTTGATCCCTATGAGTTCTAGGTGCCTGTTGAGGTGGTTGTGCCCAGTTAAGAGCCCAACTACCATCTTGAGATCCCTTCTATTAAGTGACAGGATCTCTCTCGTGAGCCTTTTTGAAGGTTCCTTTATATGGAGCTTTGATTGTCTCATTCCTGGTGTGTCCCGCCATGTTTCAAGGAACTGCCTCTGTAGCATTTCCTTCATGAAGGACATAGCCGTACTATTGGGTATTCCCAGTATCGGTTCTGGTCCAATTGGTGTCGTTCCTGAACCGATCTTGGCTAGTCTGTCTGCCTCCTCGTTCCCCGGGATACCAGAGTGTCCTGGAACCCACATGAGGCTGACTTTCCTAGTTTTTGCCATATTTTCTAAGGCACTTCTACACTCGGACACCAATTTAGTTGTGATCCTATTGGATCTCAATGCCATAATAGCAGCTTTACTGTCCGAGCATATGGTGACTGGTCCACGTCCACTTCTGCCGAAATTTTCTTGGACACACGTCAGAATTGCAAACACTTCGGCCTGGAACACTGAAGCGTATTTGCCAAGAGGTACTGAGATTCCTTTCCCTGTTCCTCCTTCATATACTCCTGCACCAGACCCGCCACCAAACCTTGAGCCATCCGTGAACCAGATTGATTCGTTGGCAGGAAGCAAACCTGGTGTATTGCCAGTCCATTCCTCTCTTGTAGGAAAAATGACATGCGGAGCTTTATTGAAATTCAGAACTGGCAGAGTGCTGTCCCTTACCATCAGCAGACTGGGACAGCATTCTTCGGCCTTGTTCCATATTAGGGAGTGTCCATAGTCTGCCTTTTCGATCCATTGGTTTGCACCTTTGAGTCTATAGGCAGTGCGCATGGCTTCATGCTCTACAATCAGATGTAGAGGGGGCAGACCTAGTAGGACCTCAAGGGCCCTTTGCTAGGTCATTTATATATATTAAAAATAAGATTGGTCCAAGTACAGATCCTTGAGGGACCCCACACTTCACTAACTGAGACCTGGACTTTTTTTTTTGTTAAGCCACACTATTTGATTACGCTCTGATAGGTATGATTGGAACCATTTTAGTGTAATATCTCTGAAACCATAAATTTCTAATTTTTGAAGCAAAATTTCATGATCAACACAGTCGAATGCTTTTGAAAGGTCGCAAAAAACTGCTGCAACTGCGTCACCATCATCGTTTATGTTGATATATATATTCTCTAATAAAGCAAACATAGCATCATTTGTATTTTTAGCTGTTTGAAAACCGAACTGGTAGGTGCTTAGAGTGCGATTATGAAGCAAAAATGAGAACATTCTTTTTTTAACTAATTTTTCAACTTAGCCAGAGTTGGTTCTAATTTTTGAAGCAAAATTTCATGATGAACACAGTCGAATGCTTTTGAAAGGTCGCAAAAAACTGCTGCAACTGCGTCACCATCGTTTATGTTGATATATATATTCTCTAATAAAGCAAACATAGCATCATTTGTATTTTTAGCTGTTTGAAAACCGAACTGGTAGGTGCTTAGAGTGCGATTATGAAGCAAAAATGAGAACATTCTTTTTTTAACTAATTTTTCAACTTAGCCAGAGTTGGTAAAAGTGAAATTGGTCTCAGATAAGAAAATGACTTACAAAATGAATCATGATGAAATATTCTACCAAGTGAACTGGCTCGGGTCGTTACAGTATCTTCTCGGTTGAGTAACCGACAAACATTATGACTTGACTCCAAAGTGTTAATAACCTCGCAATGACAGTTTCAGGGCGCCATCGTCCATCCAGACCACTATGACCTACACGCCCATCAGCCTGAACTTCAGCCCGAAGACCCCGATCAACACCAGCGTCAGCTCGACCAGCACCCTGCCCAAGCCCGAGCAGTGGCTGGAGCTGGTCAACACTTCCGGGGTGTCGAATAGGCACACTTCCGGGGGGTCGCCTAGGCACAATTCCGGGGTGTCGCCTAGGCGCACTCCATCGCTCAAGGCCCACTCCAGGGCGCTGTCGCTGGACACGGGCTCGGAGGGCTTGCAGACCAACAAGGAGGACCCTTTTGATGCCGAATGGGCGGAAAGGGCGGCGGCTCAGAACACGAACGGCACCAATCCGTTTCTGACGAGCGCGGTGGCGCCTCAGGCTTTTCAGATTCAGCTGTAGCTGAAGTAAAAACGTTCCGTGTCGGTGAGGCTATAGTACAGATGTATTGAAACATTGCCGGCATATGGGATTTTCAATGGGTTTTGACGAAAGTTATTTTAGCTTACCGACCAGCACAAAATATAAGAGATATGTGGGATAGTTGATCAAGTTTTCAATTGGACCACTGTTCAACTTCATGTAGTCTGTAATGTGCTCAATTTCTCCGCCAGTAGAGTCGAGTCGGGAATTTTGAAATTCCGTTTTTATTTTTTGAGTTATTTCGGAAAGTATTGAATGACATATAAATTTTGAATGGTGATGGTGTGGCCACCAAAAAAAAAATGGTCGGGTAATATGAAATACATATGGCAGCTATTTCTGATGTCTACTAATGACAAATCGGAAATGTAGTTATCGTGGAAGTGGATGGAAGAATAGATATACATATCCATTCTTATGCTTCTTACTGCTATCACTACGGTTTTTTCATCCTCCTCATTCCTGAAAACAATTCCGATTCATAAGGCCGAATTAAATTACGGTTGAATTCAAGTTGAATTAGGTCGTGCATGAATCCACCTTCAAATTGTCGTTTTATGTGTCATTTAATAGGCATTCATTTTTCGATCTCTTTCTACTACCCCTATGGAGATGAAACAAATGAAACGCAACTTTTGTCACATCTTCAGTAACATTTTTATATTGATTGAGTAAAAGCGGAGTAGTAAGAAAGCGATGACGAATCAATTTGGAGTGGTCCAGTTGAAAAATCTATATGCTGGTAATTTTATTACCAACCTGTATAAACAACGAATGGAAGGGCAATGATAATCTTCATCTCCACGCTGAAGTGAATTAGCACATACTGTTGTTGGTGTGGAAAAGTTGGTTGAGTAGTATGTGCATTACATACAGGTTGTCTCGAGTTTAACTTGCCCGATTTTACAATCAATAAAAATATTGATAATATAATTCAATTGAATGTGTGATTTTCAATTTTTATCTCTATCAACAAAAACTATTAATCATTCCAGAATTACGTCATTTGACAGGTTGCTGAGGGGCAAACATTGTATTTTGTCAAGATTTGTCATATGAAACCAGAATAAGTGGGATTGTTTTCCTCAAAATCCGAGTTGGAACCAGAAAGAAATTATACAGGGTGTCCGCTAAAAGGAGGTCAATCCATTAACCATATATTCCATGAACAAAAATAATATGAGTTTCTAAATACCATTTTTCATTTTAGCCCTTCTTATTCGATATACAGGGTGTCAAAGTTGAAAATTAAAAACTGTTTTTTTACATTACTTCAGCACAAAGAGTTACATCGTATGAGGAAAACAAAACAGAAAATAACTGTCAAATATTCAAAATACTGGGGGTCAAGTACACACTTACCCCCATATTTTTTTGTACGTGCGCTAATGACTTCCTATCTATTTTTCTTCATGTGTTCAGTCATTTTTCAGTATTTTTTGATTTTTGTAAAATTCCGATAAAATTATTTGATTTTAAGATGATTCGAAAAGTACTGGTTATTGTTTGATGCCTTGCGGCTTACGGTAATCTCATAATGTTCACATACTCCTATATATTTCGTCGAAATTGGAAGAGGGCGTATCTTATTACGTACGGAAAGATGAATATTGAAATACCGGGTGCTCAGAGCGAATGTATTAAAATAATATTTACACTTTTAAAATTTTTTTTTTTTGTAAAAATTATTTTAGTACATTTGCTCCGAGCACCCGGTATTTCCATATTTACCTTTTCGTACGTAAAAAGATACGCCCTCTTTCAATTTCGACGAAATAAATAGGAGTATGTGAACATTATGAGATTACCAAAGCCGCATAGGCATCAAACAATAATCAGTACTTTTCGAATTATCTTAAAAACAAATGATTCAATCGAAATTTTACAGGAAACCAAAAATACTCAAAAATGATTGAACACTTGGAGGAAAATAGATAGGAAATCATTAGCGCACGTACAAACAAAATATGGGGGTAAGTGTGAACTTGACCCCCAGTATCTTGAATATTTGACAGTTATTTTCTGTTTTGTTTTCCTCACACGATGTAACTCTTTGTGCTGAAGTAATGTACCAATTTTGAGATTAATATCTTATCAAATACGCGAGTAATTAGAAAAAAACAGTTTTTAATTTCCAACTTGACACCCTGTATACCGAATATGAAGGGCTAAAATGAAAAATGATATTCAGAAACTCATATTGTTTTTGTTCAAGGAATATGTGGTTAATGGATTGACCTCCTTTTAGCGGACACCCTGTATATATTACATAATATTGTGGATATGGCAGGAATGGCAGGGCTATATGCTCATCAAATGTAACCTAACAGATAGTTTGTGAGCCCCTCAAGGAACCATGTCAAAATCGCGTGTTCTGGAATGGCCAATTGATTTGGAACAAACAAAACACACTAGGTTACATGTTCTCCTCATTGATAAAAGATGGAGTTGGGTGTGCATTTGCGTTCAATCACGTTCGAAAAAAAAAAGAAGATCAACTCAATCTTCATAAAGATCCATTCAAGATTGCCATCTCTTCCTTAAACAAAACACCAAAACAGAAATCAAAGACTTGTTTTGCTGACTTTGACACAAACTGTGCAGGAGCCCCTGAGCAAATCTCAACTTTTACTGGTTGGGTGTAAAGTTTCTTTGCATCTTATTGTTCTTCCATATGTTGTTCATATGTCAGTGGTTGGGGTTTGAAAAGGCGCTGTCTATGCTACGGAATATCTAGCAATCTGGAAGGTTCATCTTGCATAGGATATAAGGATACAAAGAAATGGAAGTTATGATATTAACGAAGGATGGGCGGTGCTTGTCGGTCTCCGCGTGACGTCATGTTTGCATCTCAGACAATTTTCACATAATGTACCAACTAAAATTTATTGAAGGGTTTAGAAGTGACAGAGGATACTGGGTTGGAACAAAGATATTTGAAGCAACTAAAAAATACTTACCAACAAGGTTGAGTAAAGCTGGATTAACATGTAAGCTTGGAGTGGAAATAAATAATCATGAATTAGAAATCTTGCAATACAGGATCATTGAAGGCGAATTAATGTGAACATTTTTCCTGTAGGTTCATATTTGTGGTCTATTTCAACAATAGTTCACTATTATATTAACTTTTCAAGCTTATTTTTTATAGCTGAATTTGCTTGCACTCTCGTTAATATATTTGACGTTTTGAGGGAAAATTCTGATCATTTGAATTTAGGCTGTAGCTTCATAAAGACAAGAAGTCATATTTATGTTTTTATTAATATTAACCATGCAACAACTTCTAATACTGTCATGCTAGCAGTAGAAAAGTAGCATAATAATATGGCAAATGAAAAAATTGAACCCCTAGATTGCTAGATAGTTCTGCTGGTGATTGTTTATTATCTGGTATTTTAAAGAAGTCCCTGGCATGGAAGTTATGGAGATTTATGTTGCCTAAACAAATTTCTACTGCAGTTTAACCCTTTTAATCCTGTTCTGGGATAATTTCTGAATATATAATGAAATATTGATCATTCAAGATTGATAGTAGGAAAAACTTACGTGAGTTATATTTTTCACAAAAATTTAAACATGCAACTACAGAGAGATTTTGATCAATTTCATATTCAAGATTATTTACGATATTCATTAAATTTTTTCAAAATTGGTTTTGTTTCCTAACTGAATCTTTTTAATAATTCATCAAGTAAGTCACTAGACACAACATAAGAAGCAAATTATTCTCCTCCAAATTAAAATGTATGTGTCCCAACGTTACACACATATAGATTGAGCCCATTCCTGAATATTTGGTTTTGGTACATACCTATTCATTACTAATTACTATACAGTGTTACCCAGGATCTGTAAGTCTCTGGTATAAGCCACATTTTAGTTGCTTGTTTCATAATTTCACAACGAAATTCATGTTTGGGTACCATACTATTTGTTTTTGTACAACTGTCATTGGATTCATTGATATGTGAATTACAACCTGACGATTTTGTCGTTATTATAATGAAATTTCATATCATATTTTCCTACTCATCAGTGATTATTATTTGTAAATATCAACATGAAATATGTCCCTAAAGCTGCACCAGCATTTATGGCACACGCAAAAAAAACTATTCCGGAATTTTGTACACATCTATTACAAATTTGCGTCCCAATCGAAAAAAATTTTACATTCCCCGTTTTCCTGGAAATGGGCGTGGGCTAGCTTTTGATTCAAGCTGCACCACACATTTTGTATTTTGAAAAATGAATTTTTCGAAAGGATGCCAGAATTTTTTACACATTTATTACAGATGATTCACGTATTGAAACATCCAAAATATTTATTCATTGGAACAATGCAATATTAAATATTGGACTTAACTACCCAGTAGTATGGTCAACTGTCCTCACTGTCAGTAATAGTTGTACAAAAACATTTCATGATACATTTTCATTCTGTTCCTCATTCACAAAACAAAATGTGACTTCTAACACTCGTATCATAAATTACTATTTTGATTCTATAACATGCAGCCGAACAATAACAAAATATTGCTATGTTGATTAGTATTACAATGTGGCATGCTACAGCTCAATGATTTATTCTCTGAGTTCAGAGATTGCCCTTTGCGTTGTACTTTTTATAGTATTTGAACCTTGTTGAGTATTTTACAAATATTTCAGGAAAAAATCCCGGCATTTTTTCCCTAATTATTATTTTATTCTGTGATATTTGTGAATTACTGTACTTATATATCTTGTTTTGATGTGATTCATTCCATTTTTTGGTTGCTTTTGCAGCTAAATTTGCCAGGACTCACTGTGCAATTTGTATATAGAGCTGAGAAGAAAAAGTTATTTATCAACTTTATTCTGCACCCAAATAGAATATAAGCAGATGTTTTCGAATGGGGATTAGTGATGCTATCAAAGAAAATAAATATTTCACTTCCCTTAACCTAACCTCTGCAAATCCTAAGACTTGTGCTGTTATGCTGTAATTAAGAACGAACGGTTTTGAGTCTATAGTATTATGCCTTTAGCAAAAAGAGTTTGAAATTATGATATATGTAGGCATTTTCCTCACCTGCCAATTTTGAAAAAAAAAAATGCACACATTACTTCAGCCCATTACAGT